GCTTGGTGCAGAGGAGAGTTGTGCGACCTTGGTGGTGGCGTGTGTATGCCACGTTGGGTGCACAAGTATTGGGTCGATTGGTCGTTGTGGTGGTGTGGTTGCCACGCTTGGGGCGCACAGGTTGGGGCGATGGGCCACGTGGTGGCATGTATGTGCCACGCTTGGTGTGCACAGGTTGGGGCGATGGGCCGCAGTGGTACTTGCCCGTGTAAGACTTTTTCATAACATCCCGACAACTTTTATATTTATTCATGTAAAAAATCGGAGAGGCCTATGTGTTATTCAGATGAGTGATCGTCAAATGAGTGAGCTTGCAATAATGAGTCTCGATACCAGTGTAGTACACCACCTCGCCTAATATTTTCGACAATTAGTTAGTAATCATAAGAGAGGAGAAATGGTAAGCACCTTAGTAGTTCAATGACGATCAAGAAGGACGCATAACGTGCAGTGTGGTAGGATCCACTTACATATGAACTCTAATGGGCCGTTAGGGGATAATCATGATGCGTGGTAGCACCTTTGTCGCATGCCACCTAATCCACTGCACAGATCTTGCAGTAGAATTTGTCGCATTTAACTTGTATGTCTTTGCCAAAATTAATTACGCTCCCTCGATTGATATGTCTGTAGGTAGTTTGGTTCCCACTGCGATTGAGCTTCGCACATTTTTTGTTAGATTTTCACCCTAAACGAAACTTATTATACAAGGGAAAAAAAAGGTTAATGAATATGGGTGCACAATTAATCGACTAAAATTGTAATTAAAAAAAAAGGAAAAAAGAATGAATGTAATTATTTATTGGAGTCGGAATAGATAAATGAAGAGCTGTAGATTTTCGAGGAGCTGACTTTTCAACTCTTGTTGTTGTTGGCAGACTTGGCGTCATCTACAACAATAACAACAATAGAACAAAAATTTATAAAAGAAAAAAAAGAAAAAAAAAGAAAGAACCGATACCGAAGAACAAGCCAGAAAGTTCTGATTCAGCAGACGATCGGCGACAGCATCGGAAGAAAATCCATCCATGGGCATGGAGGACGAAGCACAAATTATGCTCATCTCTCCGGCGGAGCCCAAAAGTAGTCCCGGCAAGGACCAACAAGCCGCCGGAGTTGGCATCCTCCTCCAGATCATGATGCTCGTCCTCTCTTTCGTTCTCGGCCATGTTCTTCGCCGGCATAGACTCTATTTTCTTCCCGAAGCCAGTGCTTCTCTTCTCATCGGTATCTTTTGTTGAATGCATTCAATTAACCCTCCAATTTGTTGTTTGCTCTTCTTGATTTTGGACACAGTTCACGACTTACTGTTGCATTTTCCTATAATTTGCCTTCTTTTATCGCCTCTCCGTTTTCTCCCTTTCCTTTATTCACTTGTGTGTCAGGTTTAATCGTCGGCGGGCTTGCCAACATTTCGAATACTGAAACTAACATCAGGTTCAATTTCTTCCTTCTTTCCATCTCCCAGTGGCGAGGTCTCGTGTGGCCGTTTTGCGAAACGGAAAAATGAGTTAGCCAAGTTTCCTCATGTTGTACTTCTGCAGGGCGTGGTTCAACTTTCACGAGGAATTTTTCTTCCTTTTCCTTTTGCCTCCGATCATATTATATCCTTCACTGTCGTCAAATTTAATTGCAACCCAATTAGGTTATTGTTATTATTATTATTCTTTGGGTTCCCCATTCTGTTTCCTTAACTCTTTTGCTTACTCAGTCAGGATTTAGTCTCTCACCTGTAAGTGCAAACCCTCCTACAAATGCTTCCACGTTTCCCTTTAATTAGGATGAGTTGGTTGAGAATAGTGTTGTTGTCGTGGCCTTATTATGATATTTACTTATTGTTGCTGGTTTTGTAGAAGCCTTTCTTCTCAAACTTTGGGGCAATTGTGACGTTTGCTATCCTGGGAACCTTTATAGCCTCGGTTGTTACGGGTGTTCTTGTGTAAAGCTTTTCTCTTCCCTTTTAATTGCAAAAACTTCGTGTCATGTACACCTTACAATTTTAATTTATCTCACTATAGTGCGGTTGCTCCTTCTGTTGCAGTTACCTCGGGGGCTTAATGTTTCTCATGTACAGGCTTCCTTTTGTCGAATGTCTTATGTTTGGTGCTCTTATTTCGGCAACCGATCCTGTCACTGTCTTGTCCATATTTCAGGTGTTCACATAATGTTTTTTTCCTGATATTTATTTATTTTGAGTAGAACAAACGTGGGGTGAAAATTTGAACCTCTTGACAAGAGACTTGTAGATGCTTTAACTGTTTAGCTATGTACACATAAATCCACTTTTTTTTTCCTTCTATAAAACATGAGATATAAGGATTGTGGAAGACATCGAATTGTATTCACACATGATACAACAATTCTATGAAAAATGATCATACCTGTCAGTCCTCTATCTCTATAGTAATAACAACTCTCTTTTGACGCGTCAATTGGACTAACTTTTTGAAAACTTGTTTGACCTTGAGTGGGTTGATATCTTATCTTTCCAAACTATTCTTCTGGGTCCTAGAATTACTTCAGATCATTGGCTGGTGTGCTTGGATTAAGGTTTTGTTAAGTGGGGTGCTTGCCCATTTAGGTTTGAAAACATGTGGCTCTCTCATCCGTCGTTTAAAGTTTTGATTCCTGAGTGGTGGAGTGTCGAGGTTCCTGGAAGATGGGAAGGTTTTTGTTTTATGAGAAAGCCGAAGTCCCTTAAGGGATTGCTGAAAGAGTGGAATTCCTCGATCTTTGGAGTCATCCGGGTGAGGAAATTAGAGATTTTAGAGAGTTTGACATGTTGGAGGACGAGGGCGTTTCATCGACAGACCTTAGGGAGGAGAGACTGTCCTTGAAAAGTGTCTTTGAAGAGATCCTTCGTAAAGAGGACACAAGTTGGAGATATAAAGCCAAGGTGAGCTGGGTTAAGGAGGGAGACTGTAACTCAAAGTTGTTCCACAACGTGGCTAACGGGAGGAGGAATAAGAATGTTAGTGACCATTTGGTGACCGAGAGTGGGGACGTTTTGAAAGAAGATTTTGAGATAGAAGTTGAGGTGGTTGCTTTTCTGGAGGGGCTGGATTGGAGTCCTATTTCAAATCATGATATGGAAGGCTTGGAGGAGATTAGGAAAGTGGTGTTTGGTTCTAATATTGATAAGTCTCCTAGCCATGGCTAACAGTAGGAGGAATAAGAATGTTATTGATCATTTGGTGACCGAGAATGGGGACGTTTTGAAAGAAGATTCTGAGATAGAAGCTGAGGTGGTTGCATTTTCCTCAAAGTTATACGCCCTTGTGGCTAGTCCTAGACCTTTTCTAAAGGGGCTAGAATGGAGTCCTATTTCAGATCAGGATAGGGAAGGCCTGGAGGAGATTAGAAAAGTGGTGTTTGGTTTTGATATGGATAAGTCTCCTAGCCCCGATGGTTTTTTACCAGAACAATTGGGAAAGGATTAAGGAGAATTTGTTTAAGCTGTTTCGGGAATTTCATGAGAGGGGAGTTTATTGATACGTCCATGAACGAAACTTATGTTTGCTTAATCCCTAAAAAAGATAATGCATCCAAGACCAAAGAGTTTAGTCCTATTAGCTTAGTTACGAGTCTATATAAGATTATTGCCAAAACTTTGGCTGATAGACTTGAGAAAGTCTTGCCAAGTACCATTTATGACTCACAAGGCGCCTTTGTTGTAGGGCGTCAAATTTTGGATCAGGTGCTTATCGCCAATGAGGCTATTGAGGATTATAGGAAAAGGAAGCAGGATGATGTCATCTTTAAGATTGATTTTGAGAAAGCTTACGATCATGTCGATTGGGACTTCTTAGATCAAGTGTTGTGGAGGGAGGGTTTTGGCTTTAAATGGAGATCTTGGATTTGGAACTGTATAAGGTCGGTTAATTTTTTTATCTTGGTTAATGGGAGGCCTAGGGGGAAAATTAAAGCCATTAGGGGTCTGAGTCAAGGAGATCCCCTGTCACTGTTTCTTTTCATCCTTGTGGTGGACATTCTAAGCAAGCTGGTTTCTTCAAGTGTGGATAAGGGGGCTTTGGAGGGCTTTGCTGTGAGAAGGTGGAGGACGAGTTTATCCTACCTTCAGTTTGCTGATGATACTCTCTTCTTTTGTTCGGGGAAGGAAGTTTCTTTTAGCAATCTGAACATCCTTATGTCTTTTTTTGGGGCTATTTTGGGGCTCAAGATTAACAGAGGCAAGAGTTCACTTTTGGGTATTAATTGTGATCCCTCAAAACTTCTCTTTTGGGCCTCCCTGGTAGGATGCGAAGTAGCGGATCTCCCATCTTATTTAGGTCTTCCCTTGGGTCATAATCCTCAGTGTCTTTTCTTTTGGACGATATTGGAGAAGATTCAGAAGTGCCTATCCTTGTGGAAAAAAGCTTTTTTCTCTAAAGGGGGGAGATTAACGCTTATTCAATCGGCGCTAAGTGGGATTTCCTTGTACTACCTCTATCTTTTTAAGGTTCCATTTCAGTTAGTAAAAGTTCGGAGAAAATTATGAGAGACTTCCTTTGGGAAAGGGTGGACAAGGGAGGTGGAGTTCGCTTAATTAATTGGGAGGTTGTTTCCAAATTGTTGGAGGCGGGGGCCTAGGTATCGGGAATCTGAGACTGAGAAATGACACGCTTTTGGCCAAATGGTTGTGGTGGTTCTTTCAAGAGTCTAGTGCCCTGTGGCGTAGGATTATCGTGAGAAAGTATGGGCCGCACCCTTTGGGCCGCAAACGCAGGGCTTAAGGTTAGTGCTAATAACCTCTGGAGGAGAAAAGACTACCTCCCCTGGCTTTCCTTTCTTCTCCTGATTTTTGTCTTGTTCAGTTGGAGATGGTCATGATGTCTACTTCTGAGAAGACCTGACCTCTAGGTGGGTGATAGACCCCTTTATTCATTATTCCCTCGTGTGTATCATTTATCTAACAAGAGGTTACATTCGGTGGCCTTAGTGTTAGATTCAAGGGGGATTGGGTTGTCACTTTCTTTAGGCCTTGGTCGGTATTTGACTGACAGAGAGTCTTGGGAAGCTGCTGAGTTGCTCCTTTTGCTCATAGGTGCTCCTATTTTTCGAGATAGAAAGGATTCTCGTGTTTGGTCCCCTAGTCCATCGAGTGTTTCCCTACTCTTCCCCTCTCTGCCCCGTTGTTTGCCTCGCTTTGGAAAGTGAAATTCCAAAGAAAATTAAGTTTTTCATGTGGCAGGTCATACCTGGGAAAGTTAGCACCTTGGATCGTATTCAAATGAGCTTTCCATTCTGTTTGGGGCCGCAATGGTGTGTTCTTTGGAAGAACGGTTCGGAGGATCTTGATCATCTTTTGTGGCATTGTTCTTTCTCCTAGGGTATTTGGAGCGGTTCTTTGAGATCTTTGAGGTGGCTTGGGTCCGTAATAGGGATTGTAGGACTATGTTGGAGGAAATGCTTTTGTCTTCTCTTTTTCATGAAAAATGGAGTTTTTTGTGGCAAGCTT